ATGTATGGTTTGCAAATATCTTCTCCCAATTGTTAGGTTGTCTTTTCGTTTTGTTGATGGTTTCCTTTGCTGTGCAGAAACTTTTTAGTTTGATGTAGTCCTATTTGTTTATTTTTTCTATTGTTTCTCTTGCCCGGTCAGACATGGTGCTTGAAATCTTAATATCTTTTGAAGAGCACAAGTTTTTAATTTTGATGGTGAATTTATCAATTTGTTCTTTCATGGATTATGCTTTTGGTGTCATATCCAAGAAATCTTTGCCTAATGCAAGGTCACAAATGTTTTCTCCTACAAGTTTTATTGTTTTTGACTTTATATTTAGGTCTATTTTAAGTTAATTTTTGTATGTGGTGCAAGTATGGATTGAGGTCCATTTTTTGGCAAATGGATATTCATTGTTCCAGCACCATTTATTATAAAAATTATCCTTGCTCCATTGAATTGCGTTGGCACTTTTGTTGAAATTGTTGTTGTTGAGTTGTTCATATATGTGTGGATCTATTTCTGGGCTCTTTATTCTGTTCCATTGATCTATTTGTCTGTCTTGACACTAATACCACAACGTCTGGATACTGTAGTTTTGTAATAATTCTTGAAATAAAGTAGTATTAGTCCTTCAACTTTGTTCTTTTTCAAAGTCCTTTTCATTTCTTATGAATTTTAGAATCTTCTACAAAAAGATGAGAACTTTGAATAAAAATGTCAAACCTCCATCTTATGTCCTTTGAATTTCCATATGAATTTTAGAATCAATTTGCCAATTTCTACAAAAAGATAAGAACTTTGAATAAAAATGTCAAACTTTTGTGTGAATTTTAGTTCTCAAACCATTTTAGAGATTAAAACGCATGCATTTTTTTTGTAGTTATTCCAGGTAAGGCAAGTGTGGTTGACATGCAAAAAAGTATAAAATCATAAAGAAAGCCAAGACCCAAATCTTGAAGAGCTATGGCAGTGTACACCTCACACCCCAGGGCATGTCTCATCAGGAGATGCTGTTACCACACGGGCCTTCCTATTGTTTCTTTTCATTTGGATTTCCTCACTGAAGCCGGACCACTTCTTGTCTTCATTCCTGGGTTTTGTGTCTGGGAATGTGCTCCATTTCACTTGACAAAAATGTATTTTGGTGTTTTTAATGTGTTGACTATGTTTCTCTTTGTTTAGCTTGAAACATTTTTGAAGTGAGATGCTATGAACAGGACGTCTACTTTATACAAATATTTAGCCCTTGCAGGCGTTTTTGATAACTTATGCATTCCTTTCCCTTGCCTAGAAGAGACACTTTCTAAATAATACGCTTCCATGTATTATTTTCCATATGGGTGAGTTATAAGACATAGAGAAGTCAACTCAGCCATGTGCAGCTCTAGCAAAGCTTTGGAGACTTTTTATTCCCTGGTCAGGATCGTATCCATTCCTTTTCCTAGAGGGCAGTGGCCTGGCAGCACGCTCGTGGCAGGAGCACAGGCACCGAGCCTGGTGGATGCTGGTTTGCACTATGACCTTGCTGAGCCTCTGCTTTTCCATTTTTAAGCCAGGAATATTACCTGCCTTCCTTGAAATACAGCTCTGAAGATTAGGCGTGATAATGTGATGGGAACAATCCTTCATCAAGCACTTACTTCATGTCAGACGCTGTGCTAAGTGCCTTATGTTCATGTCTCAGTCCTCATGACTGCTTCTGAGGCAGAAACCACCGCAAAACAAGGGTCAAAATATATATTTGCATCCTGACTATCTAATGTGTTTTTTTTTTTTTTGTGAGGAGGATCAGCCCTGAGCTAACATCCATGCTAATCCTCCTCTTTTTGCTGAGGAAGACTGGCTCTGAGCTAACATCTATTGCCAATCCTCCTCCTTTTTTTATCCCCAAAGCCCCAGTAGATAGTTGTATGTCATAGTTGCACATCCTTCTGGCTGCTGTATGTGGGACGCGGCCTCAGCATGGCGGGAGAAGCGGTGTGTCGGGGCGCGCGGGATCCGAACCTGGGCCGCCAGCAGCGGAGCTCTCGCACTTAACCGCTAAGCCACGGGGCCGGCCCCTAATGTGTTTTTCATTTAGTTTTTATTATGAAAAGTTTCCATACATACACAAAAATAGAATTGTAAAATGAATCCCCATATGTTCATTTCTCAGATTCAGAAATTGTCGGGATTTTGCCACATTTGCTCCATCTGATCTTTTTTTGGGGGGGAGGGAGGAAGCTATAGTATTTTGAAACAAATCTCAGACCTTCTTTCATTTAATTCCTACAGATTTTAGTGTGCATCTCTGAAATGTGTAAATATTTTCTTCCATGACCTAATGCCATTATCAGACCTAATAGAATTAATGATTCTATTGATATTGAATTGATATTATCAAATTTCCCTGATTGCCTAAAAAATGCCTTTTTACAGCTTTTTTGTTCCAATTAGAATGCGAACAAGGTCCAAACATTGCACTAGGTTTGGGTCTCTTTTAATCCGGGATGCTTAATATACATTTGTTGAATTAGATTGCATCTGACTTCTCCTCCCACTCTGTGCAAAAGTTTGTTGTTACAGCTTTTTCCTTTTAGGAATTTTTTTTCCTTAATTTCAATAGGAAATGTTGAAAATTATGTCAAAGTTATAAAAACTAATTTTTGCCCTGTGTATATACTTGTCTTTGAAAGCCAGGTAAAGGGAAAAGAGGAAAAGGCCGGGGCAAGTCTCATGGGAAGAAGCAGAAGAGACCAGAAGTGGACATCCTCAGCCCAGCCGCGATGCTGAACCTCTACTACGTCGCCCACAACATCACCGACTGCCTTCGCCTGCGGGGCTTCCGGTGGCCAGGTGCTCCCAAGTCAAAAGGGAAAAACAAGACTTAAGTGATAGCATTTCACAGCATATCTACAGAGAACAGAACTTGGGGAAGAGAAATAGGGAGAATACGACTTTTAGAAGCAAAATAGACTTTACTGAAAGCGGCTTGAGTTGCAAGCTAAGTGTGCTTTTCTAAGTGTGATAGTTAATGATAAAGAAATGCACTTCATTTCTTCAGCTAAATCCAGGTATGGTTAGCCACTTTGGTTTTTCAGAAGTTAAGGGCAAAAAAGTCTGAATATTCCTACATAGCATGGTGAAATTGATAGGACTTTAAAAAATTATTGTAATTCTGGGTCAGAATTAAACCTTGCTCTCAAAAGGCTGTTCTCTCTTGCATGAGTTTTTTTCTTGTGCCAAAGGGGGTTTGTTATTTAGAGATGTGGCAACAAGCACAGGATTTGCTTATGAACATTCCTCTCTTGGGAGCTGTTTCCTTTCCCCATCTTTTTCAGGAAAAATAATAAATATCTTGTTTCTGTAATTTTCTTCTCAGCAGTCTGACTCTTGTCTGATTTGAATTAGCCACAGACCCCAGTGGAGACTGAGACTGTCACTTTGCTCTGACCTTGCTGGGCATGTAAACAAGTGGTTCCAAGAGCTGACAGCAGTTAGTGGTGGGGGTGCATGGAGAAGGGCGCAGGTCAGCGCTCATCCCTCTTGTGTCTATTCCACCTGACCCTTCTCCCTCTTCTTCCCACCTTCAGCACGCTTTCTTTTAAACTTGACGGACCCCGGGCCGGCCCCATGGCTTAGCGGTTAAGTGCGCGCGCTCCGCTGCTGGCGGCCCGGGTTCGGATCCCGGGCGTGCACGGATGCACCACTTCTCTGGCCATGCTGAGGCCGTGTCCCACATACAGCAACTAGAAGGATGTGCAGCTATGACATACAACTGTCTACGGGGCCTTTGGGGGAACAAATAAATAAATTAAAAAAAAAAACAAAAATAAACTTGACGGACCCTGAGTTATGGAACTGGCACTAGAAGTTTGCCGTAGGCATTCTGCTGATATGCCAGGATCTCCCTAGCCTGTGAGGAGACACCTAAGAGAGAAAACTGCAGTTCTCCCAGCCCAAAAGGCCTAAAAGCCCCAAACGTGAAGCTTGGAAGGAAAGACATTTTTAAGTGTGAACACCATCTCTGAATCACTTAGCATTCATCCCTGCTTCCTGCTCTCTCTCCTGGCGTGTCTTGCCTCTTCCCCCAATGCGGACACCTGCACTATTGTCACCATTCACGGTTCTGAGCCCGAAGCTGATTACCCTAGGCAGCACCTGTCCAGGGATGATCCAGTGTGTCTGACTTACTTCTAATAATGCCGCAGGTTGCCTTGTGAGGATCTCAAAGATTCATGAAGCTTGCTAAGGGAGGCTGCACCCCAGAACTCAGGATTTCATAAATAGCAGAGAAAAAAGGAAGTCACCTGAAACTTTGTAGTAGAGAAGTGGGGTGCTCATAACCCATGTGAATTTGTTGGGAATGACATTTGTCTAGCTGTACCATCTGTGCAGAGTCAGTGTGAGGCCTTGGCTGGTTGCCAGAGGAGCTCGCTCGGGTAAAGGTTGGTGCTCCCCTTAACCTGAAGGGGGGCCTTTCTGTTCTCTGTCTACAGGCTTTGGAAACGGGAAGCACCTTCCCACTCTGCTCAAGGTTGCTGGGTGGATCCAAGTGGTTTCTGTTTGTGAACACACTAACTAGTTCAGTCCTTCTCAAACTTGAGTGTGTATCGTGGTCACCTGGAGGACTTGTCAAAGCGCAGACTGCTGGGCCCCATCCCGTAGGAAGGATGGGGTTTGAGAATTTGCATTTACACTAAGCTCCCAGGTTGAGCTGCTGCTGCTGGACCACACACTTGGAGAAGCACTGCCCTAGTTAATGCTGCCTAACCGGATGCTAAAAGGGTTGTTGAGTCTTTGAACTTGCAGGATGTCTGATGACCTTCTCCACCTCGCTTGGGTTCAGGAGCTCGAGATTCAGCAGTTGTGTTTATTGGGACGTTACGGAGGTGGCCCTTGCAGAGCATCCTTCTGATCTCGTCCAGAGCAGGGATAATATCATTTAGGGGCTACAGAGACATGCTGGTCAGAAGACATTTCCAGGCTTAGGAGAGCATCTAAAAGTGGAAATGCTTTCTTCTTCTGAGATGGTTAAGTGATGAGCAGAAGGGATTGTAAGCACTGGAATAGAGGAAGTACTAATCCAATTGGATGGGGCGCTGTGTACTCGGGTTTACACCCAGCTTTTAGCAGAGTGGCTAAAGGCTGTTTTAGTCTTGTGCTCATTGGAACCCTGGGGTTCTGAGAGAAGCCATTAGGAATTTTGAATTAAATAGCTTTGGTGGTATTATAGTGTATGACATAAACTGTCATACATAAGTGATATAAAAGTTGACACATTTTACTTTGAGAGAAATTAAAATTTTTTGGTGGAACACTACATTTAAAACTCTTTTCAACAAAATTATTGCATTTCAACAATTTATTGAGCATCTCCTATGCTTGGCACGAGGGGGAAGAATCACGTTTCCCTACCCCCAGGCTTCTGGCCTGGTGAAGGAGGCTGATGCACAGGTGCTGTCGTGACGGAGGGCGGTTACGTTTCTATTTCAATTTCGTAAAGCACATTCATCATACAACTTATGAAGGTGGTTAAGAGGAGAGCAAGACTAAGAGACCTTTATAGGACACTTGGAGGGCATCCGATGATAAAATAGTCCCTGAACCCTGCTGTATTTATTTCACCTAAACCCAAATCCGCAAGGATCCTGATTGTTCCTGGGTGCGGATTTAAATGGGAGCTTGTGAAAGGAGCCATGATGGGAAAGTCCGCACACAAGCCGTGTGCTGTCTGTGGGAGGCAAGCCTCCTTTCTACGAGGCTATAGGAGCTTTTCATGAGGACGGGAGGACTGAGGCAGGGCCCCACAGGGTAAAAAAGTGGGAGGGAAGGGAACAGTGACTGCAGGAATATGCAAAATGTGCACTGAGGAGGAAGGAAGATTTGGCAATAGCCTGTGGATAGAGGACTTTTTTCCTTTTCTTTTTGGTGAGGAAGATTCGCTCTGAACTAACATCCATGCCAATCTACCTCTATTTTGTATGTGGGATGCCTCCACAACATGGCTGATGAGTGGAGTAGGTCTGCACCCGGGATCCAAACCCACGAACCCCATGGCTACAGAAGCACAGCGTGTGGAACTTGAACCACTTGACCACTGGGCCGGCCCCTAGAGGACATTTTTTAGATTGGAAGTGCCTCTTGCAAAATTGATGACATGATAATCCAAAAGAGAGACAATAACAAGTGTTGGTGAGGATGTGGAGAAAATGCAACCCTTGTATGTTGCTGATAGAAATGTAAAATGGTGCTGCTGCTGTAGGAAACAGTTTGGCAAGTCCTCAAAATGTTATACGTAGAGTTACCATCTACCCAGCAATTCCACTCCTAGGTATATGCCCAAGAGAACTGAAAATATACATTCACACAAAAACTGGTATATGAACGTTCATAGCAACATTATTCATAACAGCCAAAAAGGGAAAACAACCCAAATGTCTATCAACAATGGCTAGACAAAATGTAGTCTGTCCATACAGGGGAATATTATTTGGCCATAAAGAGGAATGAAGTTCTGGTACCTGCTACAACATAGATGAACCTTGAAATCATTGTGCTAAGTGAAAGAAGCCAGACACAAAGGGTCACATCTTATGTAATTCCATTGATATGAACTGTCTCGAATAGGCAACTCTATAGAGACAGAGAGTAGATTAGTGGTTGCCAGGGGTAGGAAGTGACTGCTAATGGGTAGGGGTTCCTCTTTGGGGTGATAAAAGTTTTCTGGAGTTAGATGGTTGCACAACCTTATGCATATACTAAAATCAATGAATGTACACTTGAAAAGAGTGAATTTTATGGCATGTGAATTATATCTCAATTTAACAAGCTGATGACAGCTGACAAAGGTCCAAAAAGACTGGGAGATGAAGGAGATGAGGGCGAGTACCAAATGCCAGAGCAGGTGCCCCACACGGAGATGAGGCGGAGGGACAGGCGCTGGTCAAACACCTGCAGCCGGATGCCCGGAGCAGGAAAAATTGGGAGGTGCAGCCAAAGTGGGGACTTCAGACCCACAGTGTCCGTCTTTCCCGCAGGGAAGGAGGCTGCCAGGGTCTGGACTGCCTCGGCTTCACTCAAGTTCCAACCGCCATCACCTCTTCTACCCACCCTCTCCAGACCTCACCCTCAGCAGGCGACCTGATCTCCCTGCCGGGGGAAGTGTCCCCACCCCACATGTTTTTGAGTAGGAGACCGGCCCCTCTGCAAGGGCACAGGAAGAGTTCGAAACAGCCAATATCTTATTGAAACAATCCAACCTCCTCTCTGTAGAAGGTCTTTCCCCCTTTGTCCTTTCCCCCGGCCCTACAAGGCTCTCAAGGGACATTTTCTCATACTGACTGTCCCCTGATCCTGCACCTTCATTCCTCCAGCCCTGTGGAGTTGACCGCTAAGACATTTAACCCACAGGAAGGGATTACCCGCCAGCCCACCCTGCAAGCACGCACACACAGCTGTCCCCAGTTACCTCATCACCCCAGGGAAAGTGAGGCCATAGCCAAGCAAAGAGAAACAGAAATTAGTGGAACTCTAGGAATTGGGACCTGAATATTTTTATTTTATTTTACATTTGAAAATTAACTTTTATTATGACCATTTCCAAACACACAGCAGAGTAGAAAAGAGTACAACAAACCCAGCTTCAACAACTTCGAACAGTTCGCCTTATTCATTTCATCTATCCCCCGCTTTATTTTTTTTAGCATTTTAAAGCAAATCACATACGTGCCATTTCATCCCTGAGCAGGTAATTTTACAGTCGAACTCCCACTTCAGGGAGATCCGGCTGTAATTTGAGTTCTCAGTGGTCATTTGTTAGATGCCCCTGTGCCGTGAGGGAGGAAGTTTTCTATCCTTGCTCCACACCCCTCCACTGTGTCCTCAACGCCCCTAAGTGACCTCCGTTTCAAAAAGCCCTGGCGTGACCCTGCCACCCCATTCAGCTGCCATTCCATTCCTCTCCTGTTCTTTTCTTTTTTTCTTTATTTGCCTTATTTCCTGAATGCGTGGTCAAGCCAGTGTTTCCTCTGAACCAACCCTTGTTATCTGGGATTCTATTTCTTATCACTTAACCAAACTTTTCTCAAGCCACCAATGACTTCCTGGTTTCAGGACACTGGCCTTTCTCCAACTTCTTTTTGTTCTTTGTTTCATCCTTCAACTAAGGAGTTTTCAGCCCCTCCCGTCTGGCAGAGCCGCACAGCTCCCTCTCCGGCTGCTTACCCAGCCTCACGCTTCACCCTCGTCTTCCCCTTCACAGGGGACTCGGAGG